GGAGGCCCGGCGCCCCTCCCCCGCCCAACGGTCCGGGGACGGCCGTTGCTCCCTCAACGACCCGAGGCCCCCGGGACGGGCCCGTCGCCCTCCCGTCGCCTCCCGGGAGGCGACGGGAGGGCGACGGGCCCGTCCCGGGCCCAGTTCCTCTTGCCGGTGGGTGCTTTTGTCCGGCGGTAGGTGTCTGCCAGGACCGCCCCTTCCCGGCCGCGGAGGGGTTGGGGGGGGGGGGGGCGGGGGGGGAGGGGAGGCGGCTCTGCCCTACTTTTCCTGGCGGCCGCCCGGGGGAAGCTTCGCCCTGCCCTAGATTGCCACCCCCCCAACACGCAGATGCACCCCCCCCCCACACACACACTCTTCAGGGGCGTGGGGGGGGGCCGCTGAGTAGGCCGCGGTTGCGGGCAGCTCCCGCTCTGCTCCTGCCCGGGCTCCTGTCGGGAGTGGGAGCCCACCCGCCCCCCGGTGGGTGCCGGGAGAGGTGGGTTAGCTTTCCGCTTTCTCTGGTTCGGGGCAGTGGGTCCTGCACCCCATCCTGGTTGTTCGTCATCCACTTACAGCTGGGGGTTTCTCTCCTGATGGGTTCGTGCTTCTCGTGGCTCTGTGGGCTTGGGGGTGTGAGGAAACTGGGGTGCAGCTGGACCCCTCAGAGGAGAAGTGGGGCTGGTGGAAGGTTGCGTGCCTTTGGGCTCCTTCCTAATCTCGAATCAGGCCATGGTAGTGCTGGCAGCACAGAAGGGGAACAAGTGGGTGAATAACTTGATTTGTGCTTTGTGTAGGGCTTTACTTCCATGTTGTCTTTCCCCATCTCCTTCTCGGGTGCTCCCTCGCTGGTGGGGGTGGGTAGGACAGCCCTGTCACGGTCACAGTGTTGCTACAGAATTCACTGACAATAGCATTTCGGCAGCAACAGTAGGTTACTTGAGGACATGGTGACAAATGAAATGTTCTCTCTGTTAACCTTCTCTACCTAGTCCTTCCTCACCCCCGATTATGTGTGGTTTATGAGAATTGAAGTCAGGGCAGGGCTTTGCTATTGGGCTGGCTTATGTTGCATTTAAAAACAAAAAAGAAAGCTCTTCTGTGTTTGCTGTTGTTGTCAAAGAAAATTGCAGCAGGAAGGTGACCTGGTAGAAACCCTTCTGCAAGAAACTGGATGTAGAAAGGGACCTGGTGCACCTTTGAGCCTGATGGCAATGATCTGAACTCTGTGATGTGAAATAGATTTAAAAATATGTGCTGAAACATCTGCAGTGCTATTGAGCAGCTCCCAGGTGGCATTCAGGGTGAACCTGGTTTGAAGCCTCTTTTACAGGTGTGTTAACATCAGGAGCATGGACTTGCAGAGCCCTCTTGGTTGTGTTCAAAGGAACATGCAGTGTTGTGGAACAGAAACTTCGGGTTTGGTGTGGAGCTATGTAAGGGGAAACTCATGGGGGCCAGCCCGCTTCACCTCTAGCTGCCAAGCAGCAGTTGGTCCCTAGTCATCTCAATTTGAGTAAATGCTGAGCGCTTATAATACAGCAGCAGATCAAGGCGATAGCCTCTGGCGTGGTGGTGGCTGGTGAAATGGAGGGGCCGTCCTGGCATGAGAGCAGCTGTTTTTTTCAAGGAGAGAAATTGGAGCTGGATGTGAGGGAAGGGAAGGGAGGGGGAGCATGTGCAGGCCTGGAGGAGCAGTGCTTGCCGTTGAAACGGAGCCCTTCACAACAAACAGCAGCGACTCAGCCTTCTGAGGCTTTGCCTTTTTAATATTTACCAGGCCCTTTTAGCAATTCCTGTGATTATATCATGTTCTCTGGTGGAATCTGTGTTTGGATTCCTACCTGGCTGACTCAGTATTTATACCTGGGCCCAATCTGTCTGTGGTAGTTTGACCTAACTTGTTTAAAGAATTTATTTTTAACCTTACACTAGGTAACTTGAAAGCAGGGAAGGCTAAATCATGTTGCAGCATTAATGATGTTTTGGGACTCCTGGAGGGTTACATGGAGAAACTGGATTAACTGGTGTAAACCAATTTTGATGCAGAGTCTGAAAAATGAGCCAGCTTTTGTGTTTATAACCTCAACAATCTTGGTAACTTAAAGGAGTGAGGGAGGAGTGGGAGTTGGGCAAGCTCTGTTCTGCTTTGTTCTAGTTACAGCTTTATCAGCATATTGATTTAAAAAAAGTGTTTCTAGTAATAAAAACAAAGGCATGGAAATCCAGAACTTTAGGCTGTTTCACTTGTGTTGTTTTGGCCAGTCTTCAAAACAACTCCTGGTGCCATGACTTGCAAAAGGATTTGGCCATTCAAGGGGACTTTGTGGTTACAGACTGGCCACTAAAATCTAAGGAAGCTAAGGGAAAACCCAACAAAAAAAGTCTTGTCTGTTATCAGAAGCTATTATGTTTTAATTGTTAGGGTTTTTTTTTTAGTTCTTCCAGTTTTTAAGCTACTGTTTTAGGACTTGGAAGCAGATTTTTGATGTTTCATATTTCTTCCATGGGCTTTTATTTTATGTGATGCTTTTCTCATAGAATGCCATTTTTGGTATGTTTTATATTTGTTGCTGATGTCCCCCTAGTGATACTGATCATAGCAGAATAGTATGCTGATTAATAGTGCTTCAGAAACGTATGTACAGACTATTAATACTCTGTTAATATTTAGTATGGATAGTATTACTATTAATAGTGATGTCTACTTACAATTTCAGTAATGTTTAGTACCAGTACTTGGAATAGGATCTTCATGAAAGAACAGGAATACAGCTTTATATCTTTTATTAATCTTTTTATTTATCTTTTGTCACTTACTTCATTAAAGCACATGAGCAGGACTCTGAAGACCTCTTGTTGCAAAATGGAGTGGTTTGGACCGCTTAAAGAATCACCTCCAATGGTATTAGTAAAAATGATTTAATAGGAATTTATATAAAAACGCAACTTTACAGAATTCGATGGCAAGGTTCACACTATTATTGAATACATGGATGAAACGTACACAGGAAAATTAAGTTAGAATCAAACTAAAATTATGTATACAGAAACCAAAGACACAATCGGGTAAAAGAGAAACATACAAAGGAAAATAGAGTTAGAATTGATTTCTTGTGACTTGTACAAAGGTCAGGAATGTGAAAAAGTAGGGGAGACCCTCCTGTTGAGTCACGAGGTTCAGAGAAGACCCCCTTGCATTCTAAACTCCTGTTGGAGTCTAGGTGTGGCTGGATCGACTCCTAGTCTCAGACTTGGTCAACGGTTTATATCTAAAGAGATTATGAGTATAATAGCAGCCTAAAATTCATTCACAGTTGAATAAAGTTCATGACAGTAGCTTAAGTATAGATTTGAAATGCAATGTTTGTAATATACTTGCTGTAGAATATTCAGGTTAGTACACACATGCATAAAGGCACTAAGAGATGTATATACCTAAGCGAGTAAAACCTGTTAAAAATTCCCCTTGGATTCAGTGAAACTATTCACTTCAGATGCTTCGGCATCTTTCTCAATGGGCAAAGGGCTGACCCTCAAGGAGTGGAGAGTATCAGCACAAGTCTCATCCATTTTTGGTGACAGACCTGCAATCTTCGCAAAGAGAAAAGTTTGCGAGCTCTGAGAGGCATCTCACTCAGAGGGAGATGCTAGTTGCAGCCCGCTGCGGTCCAGGAGAGCTCAAAGTTTCTCACTTAGTACCACTGCTTACAGGTTCGGGAGATGATTGGCTTTAGTCATCAGCAAATTACTGGGATTCCAATTGCACTGGTACTATTAGGCATCAGTTGCGATTCAGTTAAGGAAGGCTCCAGGGCTATCAGAGAATGAATTAAGGTTCAGATACCAGATGCTGCAAGGCAGTTAGGAGAGGACAGAGATATGTCTCAAGGTTGTCAGGAGAGAAGTAATTATCTCTGTTCCCGTCCCCTGCCTCTGCTGGGCAGCAGGAGTCCTTGGAACGGTCAGCACGACTCCCTGTCTTAGCCATGCAAGAGTTCCTGGTGCGGTCAAGCAATGCTTAACCGCCCAACTCATTTTACTTTTACTAAGATGTAGAGAGACTTCCTGAGTTCGTAGATCAGCCCAGAGAGGTGGAAGAAATGCACCACCACACCTGTGTTCTGGGCTTGGGTTTGCAGCAGCCTTGTATGACCTTGGTAAAAGAGGAGCCAAGTGACTTGTTGTCCCATTCATAAGATGACAGATTAAAGAAACTCAGCATTGTATTTGTATACTTCAGAAGTATTGAATGGAAGGTGCTAGAGGAAATATGAGTAATATCCACTTACATGATGTTATTCTGCTGGAGCTTTTTGTTGAATTTTGTTTTTTTCTGATACAATCTGCTCACTTGTAGCCCATTGACTCCTCTTTGCTTTTCAGAGAAGATCTAGTCTGGACTTGTACTGTTTTTCATATAACTTTCCTAAACGGGTTGTGCTCATTAAAGTGAGAGCTGGGATGAAAGGTTGTGAAGTAGCTCCTTTGCAATTACTTAAGGTTTGTATTTTGCAAAAATTGTACAAAGGCTTTCTCCGTTTTTCTCTAACATGAAAGTCCACGCTCTTTAATTTTGGCTGTCTAAACTGGCAGTTTGTCGGAACTCCCCATCCATCTGGGGCTGCTGCAGTCTGTTTCACAGGTGTGGTACCTTCAGCCCTTTTCTCCCCACTGCTTCTCAATGCTGTGAAGAGTGAACAGTGACTAGAGACAGACAGATTAGAAGTGATACAGTCTGATGCCTAAGATCTCATGGCTTGCTCAGCTTGCTTTTACTCCATCGTAACTATTTTGCTGAGCATATTGGTTTTTTTATTTTCTCTCTAGATTGTAAAACTTCTAAGATAGGTTGTGTGAACAACTTTGCACAGTTTCCTTGCATGAAGTTGTTTCTACTCTCAGTTCTCTTGAAATTCTCTTTTTTTGTCCATCTGTCTTTGTGAAAGCTGCAAGATACTGTGGCTTCTTTTGAAGGTAAACTTGTCAAGCTTTTTCCTGCTCCTTCACCAGCTTCTTAAATCAGTGTTCCAACAGATGAGCTTGGAGGAGTCCTTAACCTGGCCAAGTGTAGCGTTTTGCATTAAAACAATGAAATGTTTCCCATATTGAGAGAGCTTTGATCTTTCTTGAGACTTAAGGTTTGCCTGAAGTAGTACTCCTATGGTGAACTTTATGGTTTTGGGTTTTTTTTACT